AGGAAACATAATGGAAAATTTAAAGAATATATAAAAAAAGTCATGTTAGTAGTTCAGAGTGCAACCCAACCTCGCAAGCCAGGCTGCACTTGGACTACGGCAAAGACCTGATTGGAGTTCGTCCCGTAACCCCCCAGAAATTAGGGGTCATTCTAATTGTTTCCCCCTAGCTTGTATTAAAATTGCCTTGTTTTATAAATATCTTGTTTTCGCTTTCTAGCTATTGTAATATTTATGAAACAAGGCAATTTTAATACAAGCTGGGGGTGACAATTACCTCTAATTTCTGGAGGTTCATGTGACCAGCCCCAACCAGGATTTTGCCGTAGTCCAAGCACAGGCAAAGAGCCTGTCTTAATTGCAAGGTGGAATGCAACCTCATCAGAGTGGTCTTGTCAACAACATGTCCACTACTATTGTAGGTGTACGGTATGCAAAATTCCCTTGCCTAATGATTGTTGCCTTATTGAATTATTTAGATTTTGACAATTAATATAACAAAACACTTAATTATTTACAAGAACCTTGGGAAACAGTGAGTTTGGTTGACCTCAAACTGTGACTTTTTTTGGCCACAAAACTAATTGTTTCAATAGTCTGGTACCACTAAAAAAGTGATGAACGTAGCGACACAGAAACAAGAGGCCAAGGGATTAATGAGGGTCTTATGGACTAATAGACTATCTTCTGAATATTTGCAAATAGTTAACAATTATTTACCAAGGTGGAGGTGAATAGCGGAAAAACATTGACTTAGACGTGAATCGTTTTTAATTGCACTTTCACCGAAACGGAGGTGAATAATTGTTTTTGCATATATTCCTAAAATTTGATGAAACTACACCACATGCAATGTTATTTTCGATATTTCCAAATGTATATTTATACAAAATAAATCTTTTCATAATGAAAACTTTTTGTTTTGTTTACCAAGAAAAAGTTTCTGTCATGTCAGTTTTGCTGAAATGGCAGGATTCCGACTTGCTTGAAATGACGATCTGAGTACTGTAACCATTCAAATTGCACCAAAAGCACTATCCACCTTCTGAGGATATGCTAATATCAATTATAGACATTTTTTCTGTGTTGGTGTAGTGTACTCAGGTGATTATGATGTTTGTGATGTTACTCTGAGTGTATATCCACACCGGGCGAGCTTGAAAAATATGCCCGGCCATGGTGGGATTCGAACCTACGACCTTTGGAATACTAGCCCAATGCTCTTCCAACTGAGCTACGCGGTCAGGACGGTTCGAGTAAGTGATATTTCGGAACAGAATCTAGTTCCTTCGATACCAATGTATTCTAGTAATATGATTTTTTTTCTGTGTTGGTGTAGTGTACTCAGGTGAATATGATATTTGTGGTGTTACTCTGAGTGTATATCCACACCGGGCGAGCTTGAAAAATATGCCCGGCCACGGTGGGATTCGAACCTACGACCTTTGGAATACTAGCCCAATGCTCTTCCAACTGAGCTACGTGGTCAGAACGGTTCGAGTAAGTGATATTTCGGAACAGAATCTAGTTCCTTCAATACCAATGTATTTTAGTAATATGATTTTTTTTCTGTGTTGGTGTAGTGTACTCAGGTGAATACGATATTCAGGTGAATATGATATATGATATATACACCAACACAGAAAAAAATCATATTACTAGAATACATTGGTATTGAAGGAACTAGATTCTGTTCCGAAATATCACTTACTCGAACCGTCCTGACCGCGTAGCTCAGTTGGAAGAGCATTGGGCTAGTATTCCAAAGGTTGTAGGTTCGAATCCCACCGTGGCCGGGCATATTTTTCAAGCTCGCCCGGTGTGGATATACACTCAGAGTAACACCACAAATATAATTATAGACATGATTATATGTGTATATATATATTACGTCATAATTTTCATCTGTTGATTCTTCTTCTGCATTTCTATTGTCAACAATGATTCTGTCCTAAAAAGAAGCAAATTGGTTAAATCAATTACAGCCTACAGGGCAGTATTGACAAATTATTTATGAAAATTATTATTTCTGAACAATACCTGCTGGTCTGGCTCTTCAACTTCAGATTCGAATCTTTGGCTCTGTGATACACTGCTGTCTGAGTCACTGAAGTCAGTGTCTTGTCCGTTTGCGTCATGTTGAAGATGGTCAATGCTCTCCTAAAGTGTAACGTTAAGCTAAGATAATTAATCAAGTACTATTGTTTCTACGATACAGTCCTGGATTTAACTGCGACGATTATAATTTGCTAAAGAAGAAAGGTCATTAAACACGAACAAATCTTATAAACGAACTTGTATACAAAAATATACATACCTCGTCAATATTTTTACGTATCTGCTCATCAACTTCAAACTGCAATCGTTGACGTTTTCTGTAAACAGTTCTTCTTGGAATAGTATCGTTGCCATTGACTGTATACTGTTTGTAAGGTCCTCTTGTATTCATCCTCTTCTTGGCAACAATTTTCGAAATATTTTAAGCCAATATTGAATCGATATTTTTGCGTTTTACACAATACTGTGTAGTCCAGATATTGATGAATATGTAAATACGTTCTTATTGACCAGCGGTTTGCCAATTGGCCAATTAAATCCCGAGTAAAATATCGCGCGAAATTTGATTGGTCTACGAAAAGCGTAACAGTCACATGACAATATTTAGCTTGTTTATCATTGCAAATCATTGCATCATTTGCACGCTGAGGTTTCTTCTATACTGTGCACTGCTACCATAATCAAATTTAGCGGTAAGTGTATACTATAAATACGCCTCGGTATGCTATAAACTTTGAAAACGATTTATACGATATTCATAGATTTTTTTATCAAGCACGTGGCAGTTTGGCTGTGACAAATCGCAAATAAAACTAAAAAATTTTAGAATGCTTAATTAATCACATAAACGTGAATAAAAATGTGGTATTAGTTGTGACAAAATGCCTTGGTTTACTTAATTAATATAAACTAATTAATATATTGTGAGGGTTTAAAATAAGTTTTCTCTCCGAATACGCGAGATTGGCGTCCTATGCCATGCTGGCCCACACATAAGAGGGGAGGCCGCTGAGGCCAGCAGGATTGACCAGGGGATTGTAAATTCACCCATGGTTTCTTGATTTTGTTTTTACATATAGCTATAATGAAATATGGTTTGAGTAATGTATATATATATACGCATGCAGTGTAAACTATATTAAAGCAAACAGTGTCTTAGGGGCTGTTTATATGAGGCGAGCCAGCTCGGGTACCCGAGCTAGCTCGCTTTAGGCGGGATCCCGTCTTTGTTAATATTTCCTACTAAATTTCATGTTGCGTTTATATGAGAACCGAGCTGGGCCCGCCTAACTGAGGTCCCGCTTCGTGTGACCCGAGACCTCGGGTAAACTGGCTGGGTAGTTTTCCATATAAACGCAACAGGGAGGGCTAGCCCTCCTAGTAGGGCTGGAAATTTAGCAAATACGCATGCGCAAATAATTAGAATAATTCAGAATGCACAGACAACTCCCATATAAGGAACCAACTTCCATATATGGAGTTGTTTACGCAAAAAAAAATTAGAACAAGAAGAGCCAGCCCTTCATGTAAGTTTCATATAGACACGTGGTGAAATTCATCTCGGGGATGCGAGCTGGCTCGGGTACCCGGGCTGGCTCGCTTCCATATAAACAGCCCCTTAAATTTGAAAGGACTAAAAAATCACTTTGTTATATAATTATTTTATTGTTAACAATATGTTATCTACAGGCACTGGTGAATACTTACTTTAATATACTAAGCCAAAATTTAATTTATGTTTTATTATTCATTATTTCATAATGTATTGTCCTTTTATTTTTTGTGTAATTACTGTTTATGGGGTATTTGATACACAACTTTATCTATTCATGAGTGTTTTGTAACAAATTTGGTTGTGATTGATTATGTAATTAACAAAGTTAAAGGAAAATAACTTAAGCAAGTCAACATAATTTGGTTATCGATACCACAGATTACTGTATTTATTATAGGTATATTATAGGGCAGTGCTGTAGATTAAAGTTAGTTCCTTTAGCTATACATATATATTATTTTATATAATTATATGACACAAATCTTAATTTCAGATGTATATGAAACAATAAAGGGTCATTTAGAAAATTATTTGAAGACTGGTGATACCAAAACACCTAACAGGGGGAGGGGTCAACGAGTTCCTAAAAAGAATTCCCGGTATGCACTTCAAACTGATTCGGAAAATAATGACACCTCCAGTCCTAAAAAGGTTTGTTTTAATGATAAAGCAGTATGTGAATGTGAAATACAAATTCTATAGCCAGTAATGAGCTCCAAGATTTGTTCTGTCCTCAAAGCATACAGTCTATAGTAAAAGCTGGTGACATGGTAGAATCTTGGTAACTTTATAATCTGATGGCAAAGCATGGTTGAACATACCATAATTCTGCATGTATGATTGTATTTTAGAATCCACAGAAGAAGCTTAAGTACACAAAACCTGCCAATGATGGTAATTTGGTGAACCTAGTGCAAAACAAATATGGGCTGGGTGATGAATCTGTAAGTAAATAAATATTTTTTAAAATAATGTGAAACATACTGTACTGTACAGTGCAGTGAGAAGTTAATTTGTGACAAGTGTATTAACTTATTAACCACTAGTATTGTACTCCACAACTGTCGAGTAAAATCGCCTGGCATTAGACAGAGTAAATATAGGGCACATTGGTGTGTGTGCATTGCCTGCTGGTGGTACTTACAGTGGTACTGCAACGGTTTTTTGTGCTACACCTGAAAATTTGTATTCTTAAATCTTAACATACAAATACATGATTGTAGGATAGGGAAGGGTCAGACGATGATGATTTCACAAAAACGAACAATGTACAGAAGTTGTTGGATCTCCGAGGTGAAAATAAGAAATTGCGGGAAGAAGTCAGAGATATGAGACACGAGATCAAGGATATGAGAAAGGTTATTTCTAATATGAGAGGTAAAATAATTATGTTTAATAATTATTGCTGTAATGGTGTCAGTTTGATTTCCATCAATTTAACACAGAGCATATTTTTTTACTAAAACTTGTCTTGTAGTACCTCTTGTAGTTTCTGCTTGACACATATACATAAAGTGTAAATTGGCTTTTAGTTAGCGTAGTAAGAGACTGGGCAACAATGAAGAAAAGCTTGTCCCTCGGAAATGCAGCTTTTTACATAATTCAATTCAAATAAATTATTCTCATGAAAAGATGAGGGCAAGCTTTTCTTCATTGTTGCGCAGTCTCTTACATCGTTTATGTATCAGACTGCGCACAGGCTACTTCTAGTTAATTTCAAAAAATTTATTCCATTATTTGTTGCAGTGTGTCAGGTAATACTGTACCAGCTGTCTAAATTCATTGGTCGCACTGGATTTTCTATTCCCTGAATATTGCAATATTGCCATCAATCTTACATAATTCATTGGCTAATTGCACCAAGCAAGTGCAATCGAAATGCGCAAGTTTCCTTCACAAGTTGCAACTGTTATTAATGCTCAAGTATGGTACCTTCATTTTGTCAAACAGCAGACAAAATATTATACTATCTAGTTTGTTTTCAATTTGTCAGTGTTTCATGATATGTGAATTTAAGCTAATGACAGTTGCAACTTCCGAGGGAACTTACACGTTTCAATTGCAACTTAGATGGAGCAATTAGCCATACTATTTACTGCATGCTGTTTTCTAACATCAGTTTGTCAGAGAAGCCTGAAAAATAGGGATGTGTTAGTGTATGCTGAGATGCTTGTGCTTTTTTTAATGCAGATTTGACAAATGTAAATCAAGCTCTAAGTGAGTTAACCAAAACAGTTAACTTAATGAGAAAACCCAAAACCTGCTCTACGCCATCTTCCTCATCTTCATCTTCACGTTCATCATCACCATCAAGAACACCCTCAGGTTCAAAACCAACGATGGAACCAGTTTATGTGCAAGGTTGTGATGAAGATAAAAGTGGTGAATTGGCGGAAAGCAGTAATATGGTACGTCTTGTGAGAATATTAATGTATACAGACAGTGTATTGTTATTTGTGATATTGGTTTGCAAACTCTGAAACTTGGCATTTTCCAACCTGGTACAATGCTGTTGGTTAATAATAGATTAAAGACATACGGGTTATAATTATGGTGGATAAACTGGATATGATTTTAGTCTGTGTTGTCAATCTTTGGGACTAGTGTTTTTGGATAGCAGTGTGTTATCAGATTTGAAAGGAGCAATAGTTGAGTAGATATTGTAAAACTTGACATGTACAGCCTACTAATTTATTGAACAGGGGCAAGTTGTATCAGGGCCGATCGTATCTAGGTCGGATAGCACTATCCAGCCGATAAGTTCCTCATAAAATTGTCTACTGATTGATAGAATCCAGATTAAACTTTAACTTTTGTAAGTTAAAGTTTCATTTTATTAATTCTCACAATTAATTCATTCATTCATAGTTTGATAGTTTTAGAGCATTTTGAAAACAAAAACGCTATCTGACCGATAGTGCTATCCGGCCTTATTCTTAATTGATTTTCCTAGTTAGTTTTTTCAATTAAAAGGGTTTTAATGCGCCTTAAAAACCATTGTTCAACAGGCTGAACTGTGCCTTTAACATCTGGCCTTGATACAACTGGCCACCAGCTCAACTTCATTGGCATAGTTTTGAGTTCCTTATAAATTCTTGTGTTCCTTATAAATTATGAATTAATTTCTTGATGAATAGTAACAAACATTCTTATTGAATCAGGTGTTGCTTTGTCCTGGCATTCAAGTCCTGAAGGCTCAGAAAAAAATGTTGGACACATGTGGTGACGTAAAAGTGTACACATACACCCTAATGGAGATGCTATGGTCCAGAGAAATAATGGCCACCCATTCAATGACTGGCAAATCCTCTAATGCCCATAAGGACAAAAAGTGCCAAAGCCATGCTTGGATCCAGTAAAAGTGAAAGCATTGTGTGGTAAGTTGTTCACTAAAAATTAAAAACATGGCCGGGTGGAATTATTTGTTGTTGTAAATGTTGTTGTTGTTGTATGTGGCATTTTACAGAGTAGTTTGGTCTTATATAAACATATTATAATCATGTCATTCTTTTTAAATAATATCTTTTTTATATTATGCTGTTTCAGATTTGGTGATGAGAAAATATAAGTTGCCAGATGAACAACGCGTCAAGAATATGATTAAGAAAAAACTGGCAAATGTAGAAAAATGTGAAAAACTTAAAAAGGCAATGTCTGTTCAACAATGAGAACTTGTGGACTTAATGAACAATGAATGTGGACCTACAAATATATATTTGTTGTTATAAATTGTATTAATCATTTACTGTACAGTTTGAATTATTCCTTTTATTAATATTAATAATGTCTTCTATTTCAGTCTCATGTTTTAGCAACTAGGCACCCAACCACACATGCATTGCACACATGCATTGGGTTTAATGGGAATTCTAATTGGATTCAATGGGAATTCCAATTGGATTCAATGGGAATTCCAATTGGATTCAATGGGAATTCCAATTGGATTTAATGGGAATTCCAATTGGATTTAATGGGAATTCCAATTGGATTCATGGGAATTCCAATTGGATTCAATGGGAATTCCAATTGGATTCAATGGGAATTCCAATTAGATTCAATGGGAATTCCAATTAGATTCAATAGGAATTCCAATTAGATTCAATAGGAATTCCAATTGGATTCAATGGGAATTCCAATTGGATTCAATGGGAATTCCAATTGGATTCAATGGGAATTCCAATTGGATTCAATGGGAATTCCAATTGGATTCAATAGGAATTCCAATAGGAAATTGGGCCAATTTCCAATAGGAACCAATTGGAATTGGAATTCTAATTCCAATAGGAATTCCAATTGGATTTTTTTGTAAGGGACATCCTACTGGGTCTGTCAGTGCGAGGTGTTGTGGGGTCAGAGACAAATGCCTTGAAATCTGGAATATTAATTTCTTTATCAGACCATGTTTCAGTTAAGAACATGAAGTCTGTTTTCATAATATTATCAGTAAAGTCATTGATTTTCGTTTTATCACCAAGGACATTATGTGATTGGTTAGCTGATAACTTTTTTGGATTAGTTTGGCTAATAACACATTTAGAAAAACATAGGGGCTAATAATAATTATCAATGTTTTCCTAACCATCAATGCTCAATAACTATAATTTTCATCACCAATCTACACTATTCGAAATGGACTATGTTCTGGGAAATTCTTTAGGGTAAAATGTTGATAATTATAAACAATCCCTTTGTATAAGGGACTGCTCATTATTTATTGTACAGGGGGGGGGGATTGAGGAGAAACTGGGGGACCTGTAAATTGTTTTAAACCTGAAAGGGGGACTTTGAAAAATACAGAGAGACAAAAGAAGGGGGGGGGCTTTGAAAATATTTACGAGTTTTAAAAATGTATCACAAAACAAATTACTATCTATTCATAAATGGAGCCAAACAAATAGTCTCTCATGTTCATGCCGGTAAATAGACAATTCCCATTATGGACTAATTTTGAAACTAGACATAGAGATGCAAATAAATCACCACGGCTAGAAAGAGCATACTAAAATGAGTAAAATTGCAAAGTTTGGTTGCAAAATGTTGTAAAATCCGGAAAATATGGCCTAGCTTGCAAAGTTTGCAAATTTTGTATAGTTTTGTATTGCATGCAGAAATTGCTACCGGCCACACGCAATACAAAAGTATACAAAATTTGCAAACTTTGGAAGGCTATATTTTCCACATTTTACAACATTTTGCAACCAAACTTTGCTATTTTACTCATTTTAGTATGCTCTTCCCGGGAAAATACTTTTTTTGCTAAGATAAAAAATTAGTACGAGTAACGTCATCTGGCACTAAACAAGTTAAAAAAACACTGGGTGCACTGGGGTGGATTGCAGCTCAATGGGTTAATTAATGCACTAGCTATTAATAAACTGTTTTTGGGGTGTGCTGGAACATAGTTGCCATATGATGTCGACAAGAAGTTTAGATATATGAATGAAATGGAAACAAGCTATTTGGTTTGTTAATTTGACATCTCAAATTTGCACATATTTTAAAGCAAGATTTCAAAATCTAGTTTCAGAAATTTCAAGGAAGATATTACGTGCCAATTCAAGACAATGTTGAATTGGAACATTCGAACCTTGACAGTTGTTTGTGGTCAAATGAGGATTTACAAATTTGCAGGAAATTCATTGCAGAAAAATTCATAAACATTGCCTTATTTAATTTCAGCCTATAACATCACATGACAGTGCTTGTGATGCCCCCTCAATATGAGCATATGTAACTTTGACTAAATCACACCCCCCTCCTCCACTGTCACATATTTTTTTTTAGGTAGGACAGCATGGACAGTGGTAATACTGAACACCATTGCATTGCACCTGTAATGATGGCCAATTTACAGGTAAAGTTCACAATATTTTTTTGTATTTAAATAAATACATACTTAAGACATAAGAGGTACAAATTAATACAAACTGTTCCAGGACTGGTAAATTTTGTGTTGCTTAATTTTTATATAACTGCCATGTGTACATTGCTAAAATTGGTGGCCGAAGTATTACATGTTGTTGTATCATCTCGTTTTTTAATTGCACTCATAGACACAAAGCAAATCATACTGTGTACAAGCACGGCCCATTCTAAATAATTTTGAACTCCTTTACTAGAACGTTTTAATTTAGTAAATGATCAATCAAAACCTGAACTTCTACATCTTCTTGAGGAATCATATGTTCCCTTGAAATCATGAAGACCAGTTATTGGGTCCGTGTTTATTTCAAACCTAACTGGTTTCCTCTTCCTTTTTGAATATTGCTCACAACCTTCTTTCACCTGTTGTAATGCCTCTTCGGTGGATGGCTTTTTCTTTCTTCCCAAGCGTGACAACATGTTCAAAAAATATGTCTTCTATGAAGCCATTATATTGTAAAAGAAGACTATAGAATTAAAATTACAAACATTTTTTTCAAAATATATCCATGTAATTGCGTCAAATCAGCACCAAAATTGCAAAATTTGCAATGCGCACATCTGTTTAACTTTGATTCTATCTATGTATGCATGAGATTCATGATTCTAACAAATTCAAAGCGATTTAACATTTCATGATCACTCTTAATGCAAACTGAAGAAATTCTGTTTTTCGCTTAATTAAATGTTCAGGACGCGTTTTCACCATGAAGGACCTATTTTTTTGTTGAACATATCGTAGCAAAAAACGTTTACTACAAGAGGGGAACATTTTGTGTTAACATATCTTTAAGAAAAAGTAGGTACTTCATGTGAATAGCGTCCAGAAAGCTAAAATTAACAAAAAGTTGACACTTAGAAAAAATTTGGGGGAAATTCACAAAAATGTAGGGATAAAGCATTGCCTTTTTTGTTGATATAAAGTTGATTTTTATGCGTGCAAATGATACATCTCGATGCCCTGCACATTTCTTGTTAATAGATGTTCAAGAAAAAATAGGTTCTTTATGGTGAAAATGCATCCTGAAAAGTGAAAATATACCATTTTCAAGGGGCGTTTCCTCCCAAGGAAAGACATGTATCCCAAATTTTTCTTCCCAGTAAATCCATGTTGTCCCGGAGCTGAGGGCGCTTCGCGCCGTGCAAGGGTACTAATTCCCAATGGCTATTTACACCCGGTGAAACGAAAGCATTAGCGAAGTCTAAAGTTAATCAATTATCGCGGGCATGGGTCACCAACGATGGTGGG